TGATAACACATTACGAGTTTCCCTGCGTGTCTACAGATCTTGATGGAAAGTTGTAAACGAGCAGACAAATTTTTGTTGACTTGTTTTGCAGGAATCTCTGAGGCACTTCGACTCTTGGTAACTAAGCGAATTTTACTTTATGATTAAAACATGATTGTTGAGCTAACTTCCATTTCGAGTGAAAGTGTTTGATGAAGCGATTCGAAGGTCGATTCCTCTTGACCAGCTGTCGATTGGCTTTATTGGAACATTCATGTTGACGCTGTTTTCGAGGTAATCTTATTCGATTCTGGTGAAAAGGTGCTAAGCTTTCTTCCATCATATGAAGAATATCATCAAAGCAAGGTATCATCGTTACAATCAAATTCAAGCTAACGAGTCAAGAAAACTCACCGGCAAATCCCTAAAAAGCTGTATATATATTCTATATCTGGCCTCTTTGATCAGGCATAAATCATTTTTAGACAGAGTATATATACATCTTTTTAGGGACTTGCTAGTCAGTTTTCTTGATTCGTTAGCTTGAATTTGGTTGTAACGATGATACCCTACTCTGATGATATTCATAATATGACGGATGAAAGCTTACCACCTTTTTATCGGAATCGAATGAGATTGCCTCGGAAACAGCGTCACCATGAATGTTCCAGTAAAGCCAATCGACGGCTGGTCAAGAGGAATACGCCGTCGTCTTCTGGTGGAATCGAACTTAGAATCTCTTTACCAAACACTTTCACTCGAAATTGAAGTAAGCTCAACAGATATGAAGCAAGAGATTCCTCGAAACCCAACATTTCTTCGCATATAAAACATGATTGTCTATCGGTGTGCTCTTCCCATTAAGGCGACCTGCTTCCTTGAAAGTGTTGATTTTTAATATAAGACGATGTGACCAGAATCGTTGTGTTTCATTAACCCATAGGTCCAGGCTTCAAAAGTCGCCAAGAGGATGAAACTGAATCCCATTGTGAAGAGTAGAATTTTCCTCTGGGACGCAGAACTGAAGTCAGAAGAGCCGCTAACAGTCGACTTGCTCTTTTCCCATCCGAAACTGGTGCCCCCCGACAGTATTTGAGTTCCTGCTACTGGCGCAGAAACCGGTCATATCGTCGAGACTTAGCTTGTCCTATAGGCCATGCTGATTAGAGCTAGACTCGAGGCGAGAGTAAAAGCGAAGCCTGGAAGCCAAAGTTCAATAAGAGGCAGGGAAGGAGAAGTATTGCCATTGGTGACAGGAGGCTGAACTTTGTTGAAATGTATCAAAATGTTGAGAATGTGTTCTGCATGTGCTAGAGTCTCTGGAGGTCGGGTGAAATGAAGCAAACTTTTGATTTGGCTACTGCTTGAGGCCAGTGTGCATGGCACACACTTGGCGAAATCAGTTTTTTTGCCAAGTTGTATGCTACATTTATTGTGGCTTGAAGCAGACATCTTTTTCTTGTAGCAATTCAAGGTTGAACAGGTGCCCGCGGATGACAACGGCAAATTCTACTCTGGCGACTCTTACGTTGTGCTTCATGTGTCCCGACTCGGCGATCAGCTACAGTACGATATCTACTTTTGGATTGGAAAAGAGAGCACTGCTGTAAGTTGTCTCGGTGATGAGAGATAGAAACACCCCTCATTTTATGATAGAGACTTTTGTTTCTTACGATAATGTATGTTGAAGAGATTCGTAGGTCGATCTTACCAGGTTTTAATACCACCTTCAAGATGACCCAGTCCACAAGACATTCTTCCTTGTTTGTTCTACGGTCATTAACCCTTAATGGCCCTGGACCGAGGAGTCATGACTGACGGTTTTGTGTGTACCGGCTTGCTTGCATCGGATTCTTTCACTTGGACTTACTTTTGGGTTTGCGCAATCTCGGTCATACTTTTGCTTGGATCACTAAACTTGAATGACCCGAGACCCGAGTTAGGCTCTTTTGTGATTACTCTGAGTTGTTGGCAGTAATGCGTGCTCTGACTTACACGCCCTCACATGCACACTCAAGTATAAGTACCCCCACTAATATGAACGAGAACTAATATATTTTTTAAATTAGAGTTGTAAGTACATATAGCAGATAGGGTAGAGCTGGATAGTGTGGTTGACTTTGAGTTTACTTTAAGACTTAGAAAAAATGAGTTCTAGCTCTGAGGCTATCTATCAACTGGCATGACGTACTTCAGCTCAGCCCGCTTCCACCCGAAACGAGGCAGAATGTCTAGTGGACTTCAAAGTCGTATTAAGGCCAAACACAACGGCCCAACAACTTGTATCAGCCGTTTCTCTCTCTCTCTCTCTCT